GATATAAAATGTTCTTTTGCCATCATGTCCTATTTATCAATAGTGTATCCATTTAAAGACATTTACTCTTTTGTATGTTTGTAGGCAAGTTTTCCAAACTACTCAGACATTTAATTAAATTTTATTGTGATATCATTGAATTTTTATAGTGATTTTTGGAGAATTAGATCTTTATATATTTACCTATAAATGCATAAGAACAGTGTTTATTTTCAGACCTGTAGTCCTCTCCATCATACAGGATTGAATCCAAGGCCTTAAACACAGCACACAGTACTCTATATTGAGCTGTATATCTATCCAGGTTCTTCTTTTACAGACCTTGAGAGAGTCATGTTTTTCCATAAGTTCTTTATTCTTTGATAGATTAGTTCTAAACACTTAGAATTTTTGTTGTTATTGTTAATCACATGTCATTTCTTCCTTTCTTTTTTCTTGTTGTTAGTATAAGCACATCCTGCTGAATTTTAGAAAGTTATGTTATTTTTGAGATTATAATTACATCATTTCCTTCTTCCTTTTCACCCCTCAAAACCCTCCCATACACCCATCTTCATCTCTTTCAAATCTGTGGCATCTGTTTTCATTAATTGTCAGTACATATGTGTGAACATATACATCCCTAAACATAACCTGCTCAGTCTGCATAGTGTTATTGTATATATGTTTTTAGGGTGGTCCGTATCATATTGGACAACCAATTCGTATTAGAAGATCTTAGTTTGATAAGTCATTCTCTTTTAGTTGTAAGTTTCTGTCCCTTGTAATCATATAATCTTCAGTAAGAATGGTAGCTTCTTTTTTCTCAGAGTGTATACTACTGTTTCTCTTGCAAGTATTATATTGGCTTGGCCAGGCCTTTTGTTATTATGATGAGCAGGTCTGTTATAATCAGCATTATTCTTGTCAGTTGTCCAAGATTTCTCTGTTAACTATTTTTGTTCATATGCATATGCCTTTCTGTTTTAATGGTTGGGAGTTTGGTTATGTAATGGTTTAGAACTTATATGTTCTTCAAATTCCTATATGCTCAGAGATTAATTGTTGCTCTGTGCCACTGTTTGTAGATGGACAATCTTAGGAAGTAGGTCCCAGTGGAAGGAAGTTAGTTCATTGATGGTGGATCTTGAAACATTTGCTGGGACTGCAGGCCTTTTTTCTCTCTGTGTGTTGCCTTCTGGCTATTACAGGGGGAGCATCCTCCTCTAGCACATGCTACTGACACAACTGATATTCCCACAATTCAAAGCATCAACATCAAATAACCATGGAGTGAAACCATGGGTCATAGTAAAGCTTTCCTCCTTATGGGCTGGCTATCTACAATGTTTTGTCATGGCAATAAAAAGCTACATAGTTAAGTAGACTATGTAGTCTTTATCAGAGATGAAAGGAAACTGATGTTTTTCTCTTTATGTTTGGGACATTAAAATTATATGAATGCATTTAACTCTATTAAGTAATTATTTTGGTCAATGTAGGACCAAAAGAGTTAATAGGGAACTTTAAACTATTTTCTTGCACCCATTTTTTATGCTTAACATAAAGTGGTTGTGGTTTATATTTCTCCTTGGCAAAGTGTTTTATCTGAGATTCCTCGAGATAATCTTTCTAAAGTCATGAACGCCAATAACCCTTTGCCATATATACTTACATCAAATAATCCTTTAAGTGGACATTGCATTTGAGTTTCTTTAATATTTTGAGAATATTACTCTATACTATTCTAGAATTTGCTATTGTTACAAAGTCTGGTTGCATTTCGATTCCTTTAAAGGTGATACAATGCCTCCCTCCTAAAGCTTAAATATTTTCTTTTTCTCTTTACTATTCTTAAATTTCACTATAGTCTGCTTGCCTAAGAGTTTTTATGCCCATCTATCTGATGCATTCTTTTAAAACCCTATGGTGCCGGGCGGTGGTGGCGTACGCCTTTAATCCCAGCACTCGGGAGGCAGAGCCAGGCGGATCTCTGTGAGTTCGAGGCCAGCCTGGGCTACAGAGTGAATTCCAGGAAAAGCACAAAGCTACACAGAGAAACCCTGTCTCAAAAAACTAACTAACTAACTAACTAACTAACTAACTAACTAACTAAGTAACTAAATAAATAAATAAATAAATGAAATAAAAGACCCTGTCTCACAAAATGAAGTGGAGAGCACCCTTGGAATGACAACTGACGTTGATCTCTGGCTTCCCCATACACAGTCACACAACCGTCCACATACATGTGCACCCCCACCACAAACACATGCATGGATGTACACACACATGCACTAATTTTTCCTTTTCACGTATTTAACTTTTTCTCTCTCAGTAATTCTTAATTAGGATAGTTTTATGTTATTCCTCTGGTTTTATCCTTTGTGTATAATTGTTTTTATGTCTGCCTGACTTTTATCTTTCTTCCTCCCTCCCTCCTTCCCTTCCCCTCCTCTCCCCTCCCTTCCCCTCCCCTTCCCTTTCCTTTCCTTTCCTTCCTTCCTTTCTCTCTTTCTCTTTGACACTTTCTGTGACAGTTTATACACTAGTTTGGTTCACCTTGGATCTTTCCATTGCATTTATTTTATTATTCAGGTCACATACTGTTTTTATTCCCCCAACATTTGTCTTCTTTATACTTAGCACTGACAACTGGCTCTTAACAACCGCTTTTCTGTTTCATATCCCATAAATGTCCTCCTTGACCAATTCAGTGATGTATATTGATCTTATTTTAAATTTTAAATGTCCGCTCTCTCAGATGTATTCATTCTACCTTGCTTCTTACAAATTATTCCTACACTGACATTCTCTCCCTGCTCTGTTTCCCAAATTCTGTAGTATTTCGACGAGATAACATCTTTTGCTTGGGGATTGCTAAAAATATTTTGAGAAATATGCACTGGAACAAGTTTAAAGCTACACCCCTCCCCGGTGTTCCTCAGTGAGGTGGTGATCTTCATGGCAGCACACCTCTTGGGCTGCTACCTTGGTCTGGCTACTGTGGTTGTGTTGTTTGCTTTTCATGGCAGGTGACTAAGAATCGCAGAGAATCTCTCAATTGTTCTATCAGAGATTTCACTGTTTCTGAGCTCAAAGCTGTGCTATAGTCAGTTACCCCTAAATATATGCAGGATATCGTCTGTGAATATGGAGAGATCTATGCCTCCATCCAGGAGGGCACATCTCATTGACTGTCCATAGCAGGTGCTGTCAACTTTGTAGTATTCAATGATATTGAGGTAGAACAAGGCCTGCCAGGAGCACATGAATGATAGAGTCAATAGTAAATATCCCACCCCAGCCTATTTCTCACACAAGATACTGAGTCCTCATCTGCTATTTAAGGTAATTCCCACCCTGCAACAAAGACAAGCATGACATCATCTTTTTCTGTCTCTTTCTATATTATTTTTTGATAGCTCAGATCCACAGTTTACCTTCTGCTTTGAAGATGTCTCTAGTGTTGAGTCTGAGGATTGGCAAAGACAAGGGGTTATGGGTTGGTTGGTTGGTTTGTTCTTCTTTTTTTTGAGAGGAAAGTTAAGGTTGAACCACGGTTGTAACAGAGTGTAACCCACTCTTCCAAGTACCTCCCAGGAGCAATGAGCTCAAGCTAGGATGTCCAAGTCACTTTCCTCCTACTGTCAATGTCATGCGACCATTTAATCTATCAGGAGCTAGAGACTCCTCTTTTTGAGTTTTAGAGATGTTCTCTGTTTTCCTTTAATTTCCAGGAATGGTTAAGTATTATAAACAACATTAAGTTTTTTTGGAGCAAAATTTAAAAAAAAAACCCACTAGGAATAAAACTATTAGCAAAATATTATTTAACACAAAAATGTAAATTACAGGGAATTATCTTTGAGAACAGCTAAGTATAAAAGTAACGCATAACATTGCCTTACTGTCTTCCACTATCAACTTGTTAGCATAATTATGATAACAAAGCTGCATTCCTAAGCCGTGCTTCAGAAAGGGTAACTATTAGGGTAAGACCTTTGAGAGTTATTGCACATGTTAACTGATAATGACCTTGCATTCCTGGCAGACCTGGTACACATCTCACAGAGCAATAAAGCACCCAGCCAAATTCTACCTGAAAACAATTCGGAATAGTTAAGTAGAATGCATTTGTAGGTGGTTTTCAAATGTTAGCCTGTATGGGAGAACTCTTAGCTCTGGGTAACCCCAAAGCATGAAAGAAGGCTATTGACACAAGCCAGGGCACCTGAGGCTTATTCCCAATGCACATTTTAAGTAATATCTCATTGTCTAACAATGATTCAGGAGCATCACAGCATCCATATAACTTTCAGGAATAAGATACCACATCAGATAATTCTGTGACAGAACAAAGCATTTTCTAGTTGAATGTGTTTATCTATGAGACTTGAAGGACTTTTAACATGGTGATGAAGAAGATTGTTTTTTCGGAGAGAACAATGGCATAAATCTCTCCACAAGTTTACTGTGAATGGATGAAAGGATGTAGGGGATGCAACACTCCTGTGGTGGTTCCATCTCTGATGGAACTGCTTGACACACAGTCCTCAGGTGGTCCTATGAGAATCTCTAAAAGCTTCAGTCCTGTGATATCTGTCTCTCTCTTTCGCACGCGCACACACACACACCACAGTAAAACCCTGAGATTTTTACCTCTACAAACTTTCTTTGTTAAGAAATGGAAAAAATGAAAGGAAGGAACATATGTAAAAAGAAATGAAAATAAATAGTAAACAAATTCTTATGATGAAAATATCTTTGTTCCTTAATTAAAGAAATGTTTTGGTAGTAGAGTGTATTTTGTCTTCTGACAAAATATTTTGTGGGTGATGATCAATACAAAGTGTGTATGGCTTAGACGTGAGATTTAATTACTAGGATAAAACATCGTGCTGATCACAGCGCAGTAAAGGCATCCCTCCACATCTGCCACCTTCTCACATTCAAACTTCCTGTGTATTGAGCTCACAGCATTTTCGGTGACCTCTGGAGTCTGTAACTGGCCCACTTACCTTTCTTTGCAAGGTGCACAGCTTCTGCATGCTCAAACACTGGTGACCTCAGTGCCATTGACAGACAGCACCACGTCTCCAATCTGGAGTCCAGCTTCCTCAGCAGCACTGTCTGTAAGGAGACAGATGACAACAGTCTCCTTGACAGAGGGTCCCAAATTGAGTGTCCTGCTGTTTGTACTTTTAAAAAAAGACTCTTTTTCTACAGAGCCTCCCCCGCCCGCCCCCCCCCCCCCCCCCCCCCGCTCCCATCCCCAACTTTAGACAATTGCTTGTGTCATTAATGAGAAAGAAAATGCTCTCCTTGCGGCCTCCCTTTCATTTCTAGGACTTAGACATTCAGCCAGGCATTTGAGTGGCTCCTTTGCAACACAATAGCAAAGCTGCTCTGAAACTCAATCTATTCATCCCCGAGAAGGTTGAACTAGTGCTTCTCATTCCCCATTGCTGTGAGGTCTCTTTGTAACCCTGAGAAAATCACTTAACCTCAATATCTTCATCTATCAAAAGGGGGCTGGGGGCAGAGCCTCTCTGCAGGACCGTTCAGGGAACAAGTAATTGAAATACTTATGAAGTTGTGGCAAAAGCAGATCTTGGAGTAGTTGGGAGGCGGGTGAGAAAGGAGCGAGCGAAAGAGCTGCTTTTACTTGCATTGTTTAGGCTCCTTCCTGAGTCTTTTCAGATGGGAAACAGAAAATACCCTCAGCTTTATGGTTCTTAGCTGTGGAAGACTAAAGGCCCTGTCCAATGGATATTTTGTTCCTTGAATGTCTATCATGTTCATTTTGCAGTACATCCATAAAAAATCAATATGCTATTTTAAGGTTAATTTATTTTAAACAATATGGTCTCCTATAGATTTGGCCAAAATTCTTCCGACAGCAAGCAGTTGCATTCTACTTTTTCTTTCTTCATTCATTTTAAACTCCTTTTCTCTCTCTTTGATGTGCAAGCTGAGCAATAGCAAGTTTTAAATATGTAGAACATCACTGACCTCTTCAAAGAGTATTCATTTTAAATATTACTTTTCAAGTTTCACTATATTTTATTATGTTTTATTTTATTTTTGCCATGTTTTATGTATGTGGATGTTTTGCCTGCATGCATGTCTGTGCACCAAGTGGATGTTTGGTGTCTGCAGAGGCAGAAGAGAGTATCAGATACCTGGAACTGGAGTTACAGATGGTTGTGAGCCAGCATGTGTGTGCTGGGAATTGAACCAGCATCATCTGAAAGAGCAGTCAGTGTTCAGAAGCACCGATCCATCTCTTCAGCCCCAAAGAATGTTAATTTTTTTTTTACTTTTTTTATATGTTGGTTCTTTAAGATGGGGTTTCTCTATGTACCCCTGGCTTTCCCAGAACTCCCTCTGTAGATCAAATTGGCCTTGAACTCACAGAGAGAGCTGCCTGCTTCTGCCTCCAGAGTGCTGGGATTAAAGGTATGCACCACAATTCCTGGTCAAGAATGTTATTTTTAAAATGTGACTCAGTTGCTGAGGGCAATATGATGTAGAATATTTTCATTAATGATTACAGTTTGTCTGAATCTGTTTTAATGGTAGGGAAGTCTCTGACTTATAATCCATGGCTCCTTCAATTCAGAAAGCAATCTTTGACACTCCCATTCATTTATATACTATTCTCCTTGGAGTAATATTACATCTCATGGCATGGTTGATCATTTAACTCTATTGCAGTAAATACATCGTTCCACTGTCTTAAAGGGCTTATAGAATCTGTTTATGGCATTGCAAATAACAACATAGATCCAGTGAAGTTTCTTATTATTTTCTATGTTCACCATAATACCAGCTACTGTCTTACAGGTTAACAGTCATTTAACAAACACATATTGGATAAATAAACGAACCACTCCAAATCATATGCTATAGTTCTTCATCAAGGGCCTTCAATTTTACTGGTAATGATAAGAGAAGCAGCACTAAAAAAGAAAATTACACTTGTAGTATAGCAAGTGACAGACAGAAAACACATTACAAAGACAGTATGTGCTGGGATTTGGGGAAAAGGAATTCTTACTCCAATTTGGAGTATTTATAAAGTGTTTTCAGAAAAAGGAGAATCTGGTCTGATATTAACGAATAAGTGAATTATGTTTTATGAGTATTAGGTAGGCCAGAGTGGTGAAGGCCGCTAGGTTTACATAAGCCTAACTCCTCTGCTGTCTGGGCTCACAGTTGGCCAGTTTTTTCCAGATTCCTTTTGCAGTTGGGCATGCAATCTGAAAAAGGCCTACCCACTGGAATGTGAACAGAAGTGGCGTTCCATTTCTAGGCCTAAACCCTAACTACACAGAAGGCCACCCTTTCCTTTCCTTCTCCTGTTTTCATCTCTCTGGCAGGTGTCAGTGACTTTGGGGTTCCAGGGGTTGATAGGTTCATAAGGAAAATGGAACCCAGATGATGAAACATTGTGTGGGGTAAAACTATCTCCAATTAAGAACATCTACATTAGACTACTACCACGACTAATAACCTTTTATTTTGTTTGTCTCGATGAGGGCATATCTTTTTATTACCAAAGTTATGATCATTTCAAAATACCGACATACCCCAAACAGTAAGTATTCTGAGCAAAGGTATGCATAGCTTTCCAAAAGTTAGTGACTCAAGTCAGCTAGTGTAGAGGCTGTGGGTCAGTGGGCATTGACCTTGGTGATAATATAAGGGATATGACCAAAGGAGAAAGGGTGTTTTAGGTGAAGATGCAGAATTGTACTGGATCCTCTGACATTAGAGAGATATGAAATGAAACATAAAACAGGTAAATTGTTTTATACCTTAGGCTTTAGGAAGATTAATTTAGGATAGAGAGATTAAGTTAAACAGATCAGCATGGATATTATTACTAGAATTTGTACAAGCCTATAACATAACTCTAGAGATTAGTAGAAGCATAACAATCTTTCACATGACCTGAAATGCTCTTCAGAATTCATTTGGATACCTGTCTATCTATCCTTAATGAAACATAAACATATCATCAGCAAGTAAAATTTCTCATTTGTTTATTATGGTACTTTCTATATTCAGAATAATTTCTAATATGTGGAGGAAAAAACACTGGTTAAATGTGTGTTTGCTTTTAGATACATTGAAATAACCATGGAGTATATAATCTTAAATATTTATTGGGATGAATTAAAAATATTTTGGGGGATGAAGGGGAAGCACAGTGGTAGACTGCTTGTCCAGCATGAGTGAGCCTCAGGGTTCGGTCCAGGTAGAATAGAAAAGAGAGAGGATTTGAAGAATAGATATTGAAGAAGCATAGGTATTAAGATAAAACCAACAAGCAGATTCAACACTCAGACAATGTAAGGAGAGAACTATTGAGCACTGAAGATCAAAGTCAAAGAATAGTTACCATTAGTAAGAGAGAGAAAGGGGGCTGGACAAAGAAAAACAAAAATCAAAGTAGATAGGTCTTAAAAAATATAGTCAATAGAGATCACAATGAAGACAGGGCTTAGCTGGTAAAATACAGACTACAGACCTGACCTTGGATCCCCAGCATCTGCATAAAAACCTAGGCATGGCTGTCTATAGCTGTAATCTCAGTGTCGGGGATAGATACACAGGAAACATCTCAGGGGCTCCTGGCCTGTCAGTCTGTCCAAATCGGTGAACTGAAGGCTCAGTGAAAGACTTGTCTCAAGAAGTGAGGTAGAAAGCAAGTGAGGAAGACATGTGATACTGACTCTGGCTTCTACATTCGTGAGCACATATGTGCTTGCACAATTATACACATGCATGCACGTGGACACATGTGGGTGCACAGAGAGAGGGAGGGAGGGAGAGAGAGAGAGACAGAGAGACAGAGACAGAGAAACAGAGATAGACAGAGAGAGAGACAGAGACAGAGACAGAGGCAGAGAGACACAGAGAGAAGGAAAAAAAATCCAAGATGAAGAGAATGTCAGCAGTTCTATATTGAGGCCATAAAGGTAACTCTAACATCTTCATTAATCTTAGTCTGTTCAAGACATGAAGAAAATGAGGACTAACTAAAGCTTATGGGAGAATAAGGGAAGTAGAAGGAATTTGAGAATTTGTGCTAATCAATATGTTAAATGGTTGACTAGATAAGTCATTAAACACTACAAAATCTAAATCCAAGTACATGTTTAATAGGACATTTTCTAAGTAACATTTGCCTTAAAATAATTTTTTTACTTAAAGACTCCATTACTATGAAGATTGCTCTATTCTGAGTATACAATTGGAAGTTTTTACTGTATTTTTGCATGGGTATTCTGGATTCCTTTGTATTCTTGGCAGTATTTATTATTTGGCCTTTTGTTATAATCATACTTGTGAGAAAAATTAGTAAGTCTTCAGATTTCCTTTCTCTGGTGAGTAATGATGCTGAACACTGTCAATTTGCTTACTGATTATTTGTTTATCTTATTCAGGTAAATATCTATACAACTCCTCTGTTCATTTTAAATTGTGTTACCTCTATATTATTGGTTATGATACCGAGTACAATAGTTGTTGGCAGGGGATTATGGTTTGCCACTTTTGTGGCTGGTTTATAAAACTGCTCTTCATTTTGAATAATGGGCACTGGTTGTGGTAGTCTGCACTGTCATGCATCTTACAAGGTTTGCCTCTATCTACTAATGATGCTGGAGTTGTAGGACAAGGGCTTCATTGAGGCCAAAGATAGTTCAAGGTGACACCACACAAATGCTTGCCCTATTTGACTTTGGTTTTGGTGCAGAAGTGTTCAACATAAATTGCTCAGGAAGGTATGAAGTAGTAGGAAAACAAGAGTATGACTTTCTAAATTTGCAGTTCCCTCCAAATAGATACACTTCTAAGTTTATTAGGAAAAGCTTGATGAGAAGTTACTTCATGCTGTCATGCATATTTACATATAATGCAGATTCTGAAAGCCTTGTACTTAAAAAAAAAAAGAGCTTGTATTTTTCACTTTTAAATTTGCACTCTAACAGTAGCACTTTCAATTCTGGAGCTTCAGAAACATGGGCCTCCTCATCATTTCCTCCCTTGCTTATCCTGTCTTAAATGTATAGTTTTCTTTCTGAGTTTGCTTGCTATCAAAGTTGAAACATCTGTTTCTT